ACAGCAGCAATAGTTACACCTGATCAAACTTTTACATTTTTAGTACCCAAACAATCAGCTCAAAAGGTAGAGCTTAATGCAGTATTACAAGCTTTTGTTATGTTTAAAGATTCTGTATTTAATTTATTTTCCGATAGTATATAGTTAATGCTATAGTATCCCTTGAAGATGCTGGTAGGATTTCCCCTTCCTCTACTGTTTTCTCTTTGCTTTCCACTATACAAAGTCTAATCTGGGACAGAAAAGATCCATTCTTTATAGGACATATCAGGGCACATACAGGATTGCCTGGAGCTCTTAGTTTGGGCAATGATTTAGCAGATAAAACTACACATGACATACATATTTTCCCTATACTAAAAGCATCTACAAATTTTCTTAAAAAGTTCCATGTCAATGCTAATACTTTACAAAAGTGGTTTAAAATAACTAAGGAACAAGCTAGACAAATGATAAAACTATGTCAACATTGTGTGACCTTTTTATCACAAGTTAATCTTGGAGTCAATCCTAGAGGACTGATACCTAACCATATTTGGCAGATGGACGTCACACACTTGCCAGAATTTGGAAAATTAAAATATTTGCATGTTACAGTTGATACTTCTTCTGGATTTTTGATGGGCTCCCTTCGTGCAAGAGAAAAAACTAAAGATATTATAGCTCATTGCTTACAAAATTTTGCCACTGTGGGCATTTCAAAACGGTTAAAAACAGATAATGCCCCTGGTTATAATTCTACCTCTTTAAACAATTTTGCTCAACATTTGGCATTACTCATATAACAGGAATCCCATACAATCCACAGGGACAAGACATAGTTGAAAGAACTCATCAAACTATTAAAATGTACTTATTAAAGCAAAAAGAAGGAATTGGGAAGGAGTATATATTCCCCAAAGTTAAACATAAAGTAACCCCTTTTACTCTAAACTTTTAAAATTTGGATTCATCAGGGCTTAGTGCTGCAGAAAGGCAGATGTGTCCAAAAAATGTACATAAGCCCAAGGTAATTTGGAAGGATATTCTAACAGGACGATTAAAAGGTCGTGACCCAGTAATTGTCTGGAGTCGGGGGGGTCTGTTTATGTGTTTCCACAGGGAGAACAGCAGCAGATTTGGATTCCAGAGAGAATAACTAAAGCGATTTTTTTCTTTCTTTCTTTTTTTTTGAGAGAGAGTGAGAGAGAATTTTTTAATATTTATTTTTTAGTTCTTCGGCGGACATATCATCTTTTGTTCTGCTGAGGATCGAACCCGGGCTGCATGCATACCAGGTGAGTGCGCTACTGCTTGCGCCACATTTCCAGCCCTAACTAAAGCGATTTCTACAGACCAAAAAGAAGATGATTTGGCTCAAATCTATAACAGCTGATATCCAGAATTCCAGTTTGGCTACCCTTACATCTGCAACAGAACCAGGATGCTCTTTTCAATGTCTATTTTATTATTGCCCTTTCCCACATCTTGAAGTTTTATTTTGTTTTTTGAGCTCATACAGACCTAGGTTAATGTTTTGCTGATCAGTTCTATTTTTTGACTATAGAGTTTTTAAACATTGCAATGGAGATTTCACCTGTAAAAAGTTATAAGGCCTTTACTTGTTATG